TCATCATCGCCTTTTGTTATATCCCTCATTTATTGCACTATCCTGATTGGCAATTTCTGCATTTTTATCATCATTAGGGTTGAAGCACATCTGCACACACCCATGTACTTTTTTCTTAGTAATCTCTCTCTGTTGGACATTTGTTTACTCCTCCACCACTCTCCCCCGATTATGAATATATTCAATTCTGCGACAGGTAACAAAATGATTTCCTTTGTGAATTGTATTGTACAGTTGTATCTGTTCGTCTCCCTAGGTGGAGCTGAGTGTATTCTTTTGGCTGTGATGGCGTATGACCGTTTCGTTGCCATATGCAACCCATTACGCTATCCGGTGGTCATGAGGATGAAACTTTGTGCCGGTCTTGCAGCTACATCATGGTTGAGTGGGGTTTTCCACTAAACTCTATCCTTCATACGGTCATCGACTTCTAAACTTGAATTCTGTCAATCTGGAAGAGAGTATAAATCATTTTTATTGGCGATGTTCCACCATTGTACAAGTAGCCTGTAACCCCACCAAGACCAGCAAAATATTATTTATACGTCGTCAGCGTGTTCCTTGGCTTCACCCCATTTCTTTATATCGTTATAAAACCTACGTCCACATCATCCACCATCATGAAGATCAAGTCTTCTGAAGGACGATCCAAGGCCTTTTCTACCTGCTCCTCCCATCTCATTGTAGTCACGGTGTTCTATGGCACAGCCAACCTTAACTATATTGGACCAACAGGTTACTCCATTGAGCTGGAAAATTTTGCATCTCTCTTGTACAGCATTTTGACGCCAGTTGTAAACCCAATAATATTACTGCCTGAGGAACAAAGAAGTCAAAGGGGCTTTGAGAAAATGTTTTCCAGAGATTTTATTTCATCACTTAATGACCACTGTGGTGTTTTCATATGCTGTATTACTCTGTATGTTAGCTTTGGCATACAAGAGAAGTCTGGCCAAAGCATTTTCTTCTTCTGTTCTCTTGAGGGTCACAGGAGTGCACTTACTTGTGCTCTCCTGTGATCCAGAATCAGCCAACAGTGGGCTAAACCCTGCTGTTGGCTGACATCACAGTGCTGCTCCAGGCACTGAAAGAAATCCCGACAATACTGTCAAGATCCACCAAGTTACCTGACTGGCAGCTGACCTCATCCTCTCAGTGTGATGCTGAGAGCCTGACCCAGCCGGTCCTGCTCCCTACCACAGCCAGGTGCTACAGTAAAGCCTCTGTAGCCTCAGAGTCACCTCTCTCTGCTCAGAGCGGACTGAAAACTGAGTGATCAGCGGTCATGCGATCGCTCAGTTCTGGGGCTCGAGCCGACAGGGGAAAGCTGCAACATTGCAGTGATGCTGTAGCCATTGAGGTGAATATGTGTGTTTATTATTTTGATTCCCACACTTCCCCATTAAGAAACCTTGAGCAGTACACTGCAGCAAGCGGCTTTTGATATGAAGAACAAATACGTTTAATTGTAAGCACCTATTCCGCCCATGTATTACCTATCCCTGTGCCTGTATCACCTATCACATGACACTTATCCCTATGCACCCCACCTTAACCTAAACACTTAAAGTGTTACTAAACCTCAGACCCCGCATTCACTATATCTGATCTCCCCGGACCCTGCATTCACTATATCTGATCTCCCCGACCCTGCATTCATTATATCTGCTCTCTCCCCGGACACTGCATTCACTATATCTGATCTCCCCGGACCCTGCATTCACTATATCTGATCTCCCCAGACCCTGCATTCAATATATCTGGTCTCCCCGGACCCTGCATTCTTTTATATCTGATCTCCCCGGACCCTGCATTCACTATATCCTGGTCTACTCCCGGGCCCTGCATTCACTGTATCTGGTCTCCCCGGACCCTGCATTCACTATATCTGATCTCCCTGGACCATGTATTCACTATATCTGATCTCCCTGGACCCTGCATTCACTATATCTGCTGGCCTCCCGGACCATGCATTCACTATATACGGTCTCCCCGGGCCCTGCATTCACTGTATCTGGTCTCTCCGGACCCTGCATTCACTATATCTGGTTTCCCCGGGCCCTGCATTCACTATAAGCACTCTCCCGGACCCTGCATTCACTATATTTGGTTTCCCCGGCCCTGCATTCACTATAAGCACTCTCCCCCGGACCCCACATTCACTATAATCTGGTCTCCCCGAACCCTGCGTTCACTATATCCACTCTCCCCGGACCCTGCATTCACTATATCTTCTTTTCCCAGACCCTGAAATTCACTATATCTGGTTCCCCCCGGGCCCTGCATTGACTATATCCGCTCTCTCCCCGAACCCTGCATTCACTATATCTGGTCTCCCACAGTACACACAACATGCAAATGCAATTATTTTTAGTAAATATAAACTGCTAAATACCTTTTCTCATCAGCAGTCTATAGGAGTCTTGTGACTTCTATCAGTGTCCAGCAAAGCTTGTAGGAGGAGTTTTCCTTCTGCTTTAGGAGGAGGCAGAACCCCTGACCTCTGTCTGGACAGCGCTGATTGGTCCCTGTGCGGATCACATACACTCTCCCAAGAACAAAAAAAACCTCTCTAGCAATACACACCAAATTGAGCATGTGCAGAGTGTCTCCACACGAGATAAAAGGGGGAACTGGAAAAAGGAGCGGATCAGAGTAGTCAGGATCAAACAGCATTTTTACAGAATGCAGAGGATTAACCCCTTAGGTTCCACAGTGAGTATAACAAGCATACTTTACTGCATCTACAGAATGATTGTACTGTTGTGGGTTAGTAACACTTTAAAGCAACTTGTTAAAATAAAAATATGTTAAAAAGTGCTACCTGCAAAAGAAGAAAGCTACCTATTTGTCTTGCTGCTTGTTCATCCAATCTTCACCTGAGAGCTATGACCTCCTGAGTGACTCCTCACATTTGACACACTTCCAGATGTGTCTGATCTCTGGTCCCTCCAGTGTGCTCTGTGGTTCCTCCTGCTGGCAACGGCACAACACAGCAGTGACCTTGGAGTCATAAAAAGAAACCACCCAGCAAAAGAAACCCATGAAGGAGGATTCAGGCCGAAAGAAAAGTGTGGGCCTACCATTGCTGTCCTTTTTTTTTTCTAAAGGTGCTACTTGCCTGGCTCTGTCTGACATCAACATGTTTTTGGTCACAATATAACATATCCTTTTTGTGATAAACCACATAAATCCCACATAAATCCCCAAAAAATAAAATAAAATTCCACAAATAAAATTAATTAATGCAATCAAAATTAATACAATTAAATTAAAAATTGTGACCAAATCAAATTCAATCCCAAATATGTCCCAAAATTCAAATAAATCCAAAATTAGTCCAATGCCAAGGTCCCAAATTTTCCACTTCAATCCAGTTGGAAGGAAAATGATCCTAAATATTCCATGAAAACCTCAAATAAGTAAAAAAAAAAAATCCATAGTGCATTATCTTTTAAATATATATATAACAACACTCCACTCTGTGCAGACGCAAAACCACTCTTAAGTGGTGCAAAAAAAAAAAAAAATATATAACTTTCTGTGCAAAAATTATATAAATATATATTTATTATTTAAATAAATAAATAAACGCAAAACGTGACAAACTCCATGGACACTTCAATCACATATACACTCTGTGATCCAACCAGTTTTGTGAATTGTGATACTAGGTACTATTACCCTCTAAATCCAGCCAATAGTGATACTAGGTACTATTACCCTCTGGGAGTTATTCTCAAGCATAGGTTATCTTATGGAATCCATATCTTTCCATTCCTTCACTTCAGGGGTACTCCTCCAAAGTCCTCATAAAGATAAGAAGGCTCTTAGGCAGAATTCAAACCATAGAAACAAATGGATTCATGACTTACATTAAAAGAAAGGAACTTCCAGCTCACAGCATTGTTCCCTCAATGGCTCTGTACTGGTTTGAACAAACATTTGGTTGAAAACCATGTGTAAACAACCAACAAAATGGCCGCGGCGACACTTCCGGCTAGCGCGCGTGCGTCTTGACGTCACTCCTCTAACGCGTTTTCGTCACTTCCGGACTTCGTCTAAAGGGATTTTTTTTTTTTTTTGCACCATTTAAGAGTGGTTTTGTGTCTGCACAGAGTGGAGTGTTGTTCTATATATATTTAAAAGATAATGCACTATGGATTTTTTTTTTACCTTTTTTTTTTTTACTTTTTTTTTTTTACTTTTTTGAGGTTTTCATGGAATATTTAGGATCATTTTCCTTCCAACTGGATTGAAGTGGAAAATTTGAGACCTTGGCATTGGACACATTTTGGATTTATTTGAATTTTGGGACATATTTGGGATTGAATTTGATTTGGTCACAATTTTTAATTTAATTGTATTAAATTTTGATTGCATTAATTAATTTTATTTGTGGAATTTTATTTTATTTTTTGGGGATTTATGTGGGATTTATGTGGTTTATCACAAAAAGGATATGTTATATTGTATACATTCTAGGGAGAAAGTGTGACTTTTTGGTAGGAGTGGAGGAGAAGGAGGTTATTTGTTTATTGAATGTTTTGATCACAAGCCTGGGGAACAAGCATGCTGTAAAAGAAAGTATCATCATTTCTTATCTTTGTACTTTTCTATGGTCAGCGACTAGAAAAGCATTGAATCTTTGTGATGTAGCAGCACTGAGCCTTATGGAGATGCTATAATACAAAGGGTGGTTTAAGGTCTAAGAGGCTGCTCACTAGCAACAGTGGGGTCTTTCTGGACCCCCAGAGGAGTTTACTAAAGTGTTGAAAGGATGGTAATGCCGAAAAAGCACTGAAGACAAACTACTGGCAAGACAGCCAAGGAACGACCATTCTCAGAAGTACAGATCAGTAATGGTAGCTTCCATTAGTTCTCATGACAGTCTACACAGGGCCCAGACAAGGGGTGGGCAGAAGGGACAGCTGCCCTAGACACTGTGGCATCATGTGAGGTTGGAGGGGGGGAGGCTGTGAGGAGATTTGGGGGAGGAGATTTGTGTTGGGAGGAGCAGGGGCGGACTGACCATTTGGAAACTCGGGCACAGCCCGAGGGCCCGGGGTCGGTAGGGGGCCCCATGAGATGCCCCTGGTACCTTTTTTCATAGGCTTTTTTGAGTTTGGGCAAGGACACAGGAGCCCCATGATCCCCTATTGCCCGGGGGCCCCATGAGTTGTCAGTCCGCCCCTAGGAGGAGGAAATCAGGGGGGCTGCAGGTGGGGATTGTTTATTTTTTATTATTATTATTATACAGTATTTATAAAGCTTTGCTCAGCGCTGTACATTATAGTGGGGGACAGTACATGAGACAATACAGTAACAAAACAATCCACGAGGGGTTTGAGGGCCCTGCTCTTTTGAGTTTACAATCTCGGAGGGAGGGGATAGTGGTACAGGAGGAAGTGGCTGTGGGGATGGAGTGGTAGGAGGAGTGGAGGAGATCGGCTGTTAGGTGAGGGTGGGGTAGGCTTCCCTGAAGAGATGGGTTTTCAGGGTGCGCCTAAAGGTGAGGAGGGTAGGTGACAGTCTGATGGATTGGGGTAGGGAGTTCCAGATGAATGGGGGAAGTCCTGGAGAAGTCCTGCAGTCGGGCGTGGGAGGAGGAGACCAGGGACTAGAAAGTAGGAGGTCTTGTGAGGAGCGAAGATTACGGGTTGGGTGGTATTTGGGTATCAGGTCGGTGAAGTAGTTTGGGGCAGCGTTATGAATGGCTTTGTATGTCAGTGTTAGTAGTTTGAATTTAATGCGTTGGGCAATCGGGAGTCAGTGGAGGGAATGACAGAGGGGGGTGGCAGAAGCGGAGCAGTTGGTGAGGTGGATGAGTCTGGCCGCTGAGTTCAGGATAGACTGAAGCGGGGATAGCCTGTGATGAGGTAGGGCGCTGAGGAGGGAGTTGCAGTAGTCCAGGACGTGAGATAATAAGGGAGTGAACGAGTAGTTTAGTAGTGTCTGGGGTTAGGAACGAACGTATTTTGTAGATGTTGCGGAGGTGAAGCCTGCATCAGTTTGCAAGCGATTGGATATGGGGCTGGAAGGACAGGTCTGAGTCTAGAGTGACACCTAGGACTTTGGCTTGCGGGGTGGGACTGATGGTGGCGTTGTTGGTCGTCATGGAGAGGGTGGGGGGGGGGGGGCGCGGGCTGGGGGTAAAATTAGGAGCTCGGTTTTGGAAAGGTTCAATTTGAGGAAATGGAGCGACATCCAGTCTGATATGTGGTTCAGTAGGTTGGCGATACGGGCAGAGACTGAAGGGGTGAGGTGAGGGGTGGAGAGGTAAATTTGCGTGTCATCGGTGTAGAGGTGATAGTTTGAAGCCGTTTTAGGGGGGAACTAGGAGTGGTGATTTAGGGAGATTTTGTGTTGGGAGGAGGGATGTTGAGGAGATTGGGGGAGGAGGAGATTTGTGTTGGGAGGGGGAATTCAGGGGGCTACAGAAGGGAATTGTTTAGGAGGGATGCTAGGAGTGATGATTTTGGGGGGATTTGTGTTGGGAGGGGGATGTGAGGAGATTGGGGGAGGAGATTTGTGTTGGGAGGAGGGATGTGAGGAGATTGGGGGAGGAGGAGATTTGTGTTGGGAGGGGGAATTCAGGGGGCTACAGAAGGGAATTGTTTAGGAGGGATGCTAGGAGTGATGATTTTGGGGGGGATTTGTGTTGGGAGGGGGATGTGAGGAGATTGGGGGAGGAGATTTGTGTTAGGAGGGGGAATTCGGGGGGCTGCTAGGGAGTGGTGATTTAGGGGGATTTGTGTTGGGAGGGGGGATGGGAGTTTGCACTAGAAGAGGTGATATGGTAGGTGCAGAAAGGGAATTGTACTAGGAGGGGAAATTCTTGTTTGGGGGGATTTGTGCTGATAGGGCTGATTTGGAGGTATTTGTGCTTGAGGGGATATTTTAGGGGAAGGATTTCTGCTAGGAGGGGGAATTAGGGGTGAATTTGTGCTCGGAGTGGGGAGGGGGGATTTAGAGTAGGGGGGGGGGAGAGCATGTGTATTCAGGGGGGAAATGTGAGAGATAGAGGATTTGTGCTAGGAGGGGTGTCTCTTTGGGGGGAGTCATATGTGCCGGGATGATTTGGGGGATGGGGGGGAGGCGCAAAGATTTGTGCTGGGGGGGGAGAAAGGGGAGAGAATCTGTAGCAGGATGGCAGATTAGCGCTTAATTTGTTTGGATGGGGGGATTTTTCATGACACATAATACTCATACATCTTGGGGGGAAATTAGTCAAGTTCGCCCTGGGCTCTAGATAACCTTGTCCTGGCACTGTGTCTGCCTTAAGTAATATTTAACCAATTCCCGACCGGCCGTTGTATATAAACGGGCCGGACGGTGGCAGTGCAGGGTCGGGTGACCGTTTATAAATGGCCTCCCCGCACCCTGCTTGTGCGCGCTCCCTCGGAGCGTGCAGCACCGCAATCTGGTGCCCGCTGTGTCCTCCGGACACAGTGAAACACCGATCGTCGGACGGGACCTCTATACGAGGTCCCGATCATGTGATCACTGATTGGCCAATCAGTGATCACATGCAAAGTAGTAAGCAAGATGTCACCTGTGACATCATTGCTTACTACGTGTGAAATCTGTGAGTGATCACAGAGGTCACATGGTACAAGGCTATTCACAACAGCCTTGTACCATGTGACAAGCTGTGACCAATCACAGCTCACTCAGTACTTCTCAATGACTGCAAGAATGCAGACAGAGAGAGAGAGAAATGATTGCTTTTACACCCTATATGGGTGTAAAAGCAATCAGTGTAAAAAAATAAAAAAAAAATATTCATCACCCCCCACAAGTAGTACAGTGTCACCATGGTGACACTGTACTGCTAGGGTGACAGTATGTAAAAAAAAAAAATTAAATAATAAAATAAAAAATGTAAAAAAAAAGTTTCAAAATTATAATTTTTGGTTATAAACTAATTTGGATTTTTTTTTTACTAAAAAGATAACGGAATAAATTTTGGCCAAGATTTATGATGAAATATTATTTATTTACCAAATTTTATTAAAAAAAAAAAAACACTTTTTTTTTTCAAAAATTTTTGAACATTTTCATTTACATAGTGAAAAGAATAAAAATCCCAGCGGTGAATAAATACCACCAAAATAAAGCTTTATCTGTCTCAAAAAAATGGTAAAAAATTCATTTGGTTACAGTGTTGCATGACCGCGCAATCGTCATTCAAAGTGTGATAGCACTGAAAGCTGAAAATTGCCCTGGTCAGGAAGGGGGTAAAAGTGTCTGGTCTGGAAGTGGTTAATATCTCGGAACTTCTCCCTATTGCTCCCTACTTTAACCTGGAAAAGTGATATAACTGAAAAAAATAATTATCATATCAGTGCTAAATTATCAGCCCCCAAACCTCATGCCATGAAGTAGCAGCACTGAAACAGCAGCCCCCAAAAATGGTAAATACGTCATTGTCATACAAGAAGCATAACTCATTTTATTGTATCCATACCCATTTTTTTTCAAATTCTTTATTTTAGTTTTTATCAAGGACATAGATGTGGTCACAATATGCCATTAAAAAGTCATGTGTATACATGTAGAGCTACCCCCATAGGAGCCGCTGTGAAAATGCTCAGGGTTCATTTCCCAATAGTTGCCCTATAGCCAGGCATATGGTTACGGTCACTCTTCTGGCTCAGTGAAACAGTCCAGGGGTATTCTCTTTTTGGTGTTTTTATTGTTGGGTACATTGGATGGGGTTAGGGAACTGTATGGTATATTCCAGAACTTTCACTAGGAATTAGACTAAGCTCTTCAGGATAACAGACACAATGGGGGATATTTACTAAAACTTGGGAGTGCAAAATCTGGTGCAGCTGTGCATAGAGACCAATCAGCTTCCAGGTTTTATTGTCAAAGCTTAACTGAACAAGCTAAAGCTAGAAGCTGATTGGCTCCCATGCACAGCTGTACCAGATTCTGAGTGCTCCAGTTTTAGTAAATCCCCCCAATTTCCCCTTTGAACACAGCTGACTCTTTAGTACCAGAGGAGTGGCAACAGCACACAGTCTCTAGGATCTCCAACCCCAGCCTGTGGTCACAAATATCCTCAGGTGATTGGCTGCCTCCTTTCAATATCTTCCAGACACATTCTCCCTATGATACCAGGCTAGTTCCTCAGACAACAGGCCCCTCAGTCAACTTCAACAACTTTCAGCAACAGGCCTGGATCTAGGGGGGTGCTGGGGTGGGATTATAGTTGTGCCCTCCCCCTCTAGACCTCTGAGAGTGCATCCTAAAATCCATGAAACCTTATGGGAACAGTTGATGTAAGGGGACACTAAGGGGGAGCAACTGATGTAAGGGGGAACTCTGATGAGGACATTTTATGTAAGGGGGAACTCTGATGGGGACAGTGGATGTAAAGGGGGCACTCTGAGAGGGCCAACTGATGTGAGGGGACACTCTGAGGGGAGCAATTGATGTAAGGGGGCACTCTGATGTGGACATTTGATGTAAGGGGGAACTCTGATGTGGACATTTGATGTAAGGGGGAACTCTGATGTGGACATTTGATGTAAGGGGGCACTTTAATGTGGACATTTGATGTAAGGGGGCACTCTGATGTGGACATTTGATGAAATGGGGCACTCTGATGTGGACATTTGATGAAAGGGGACACTCTGATGTGGACATTTGATGTAAGGGGGAACTCTGATGTGGACATTTGATGTAAGGGGGAACTCTGATGTGGACATTTGATGTAAGGGGGCACTTTAATGTGGACATTTGATGTAAGGGGGCACTCTGATGTGGACATTTGATGAAATGGGGCACTCTGATGTGGACATTTGATGAAAGGGGGAACTCTGATGTGGACATTTGATGTAAGGGGGAACTCTGATGTGGACATTTGATGTAAGGGGGAACTCTGATGTGGACATTTGATGTAAGGGGGAACTCTGATGTAGACATTTGATGTAAGGGGGCACTCTGATGTGGACATTTGATGAAAGGGGGCACTCTGATGTGGACATTTAATGAAAGGGGGCACTCTGATGTGGACATTTGATGTAAGGGGGCACTCTGATGTGGACATTTGATATAAGGGGGAACTCTGATGGGGACAGTGGATGTAAGGGGGAACTCTGATGTGGACATTTGATGTAAGGGGCACTCTGATGTGGACAATTGATGTAAGGGGGCACTCTGATGTGGACATTTGATATAAGGGGCACTCTGATGGGGACAGTGG